TTTTTCGTAAGATGAAGCATTCGTAAGTAGAGGTACCACTGTACTTGATTGTCTTGGCTTGCTGTTCAGAGTTATAGAAGCTGAGGAGGCCATGGTTCATTTTAATTCAAAGGCACATTGGCTGCTGACATTCAATTTTAATTTTGAGATATTAGCAAAATCACAAGGTTGTCAGTTGAGAATTACATACACAGAAACAGGCGCCATGCACAAATATGCTGCTGCTCAATTCCAGGGGACACCTGCGTTAATCTGTTGTAGCAAAAAGAAAAAATATTGTCGCACCTTGAAGACCCAATATATTTTATTTTTAATTTATTATTAAATCACTTCTGTCCCACCCTTTATCATAGGATCGCAGGGCAAAATATAAAATAATATAAAACACTTCCAGATGAAAAGTATAAATATTTATGTTTAAAGGCCTCCAATATTTATTGCTATAATTAGCTTTCTCAGAAATCAGTTTGTCTTCAGCCTGAATTTTGTTCATTTCATTTGAAAACAAATTTGTAGTTAAGAGACGGTTAAAAAATAGTATGATAGCTCTGTTTAAGTATTTGAAGGGGTGTCATATTGTTAAGAAATGGTATAATAGCCCTGTTTAAGTATTTGAAGGGGTGTCATATTGAGGAGGGAGCAGGCTTGTTTTCTGCTGCTCGAAAGAACAGGACCTGGAACAACGGATGCAAGCTACAGGAAAAGAGATTCCACCTCAACATTAGGAGGAACTTTCTGACAGTAAGAGCTGTTCACCAGTGGAACACTCTCCCTTGGAGTGTGGTGGAGTCTCCTTCTTTGGAATTTTTTTTAAACAGAGGCTGGATGGCCATCTGTTGGGTATGCTTTGATTGAGAGTTCCTGCATGGCAGGGGGGTTGGTCTGGATGGCCCTTGTGGTCTCTTCTGACTCTATGATTCTATGAAATCCATCACTACATCACCAGAATTCCATAGCATGGAGCCATGACAGTTAAAGTAGTGTAAAACTGGTTTATTTCTGCAGCGCAGATACCTCATATCAATCCTTGTAGGACTATTTTTCCATTTGATTCCCCCTGCCCTGAATATTTTTTAGACATCTGCAAACTTTGGGTTTTTCCCAAGCCTGCTGATACTTCCCTCCTCTGAATGCATGGTTCTGTTTTGGTCAAATAAGCAATGACATTTTGCTCCAAATGCCAGATGATACAAGATACTTCAAGCATTTAAACATGATTCACAAACATTGTCTCCACCATATGGTGAGACCTTTAGGACGGGTAGGCAACCTTTCCCTTTTAAGGGCCAAGGGACTTCAGCTCCCAGAAGCCTCAGCCATGTTGGCCAATAGCTCCTGGGATTCTGGGAGCTGAAGTCCCTCGGCCCTTAAAGGGGAAAGGTTGCCTACCCCTGCCTTTAGGAGGATAGGGATGGGGGTGGGCAGGAAGCGATGAGGGAAACGGATGTTGCTTGGTAGCACTAGTATAGGAAAACAAAGAAAATCTCAGCTTGCAGTCTTAAAATGTGGAAGTGTGATACAGACTTCAGTTGAGTTAGCCTGCACATGCTGTAAGAACGACTTCAAGTTGCCTTAAATAGGACAAATTAAAAAAAAGGATTTGAATATATACAAGCCTGCAGTTGTCCTGTTTGATTGACACTACTAATCTCAACACACATCCCTTGGGAAGTAGAGAACAGAAGTAAGAAAAGGGGAAATATAATCTTAGCAAACTTTACAACAGCCTTGAAAGATACACAACTATTCTTACATTGCAGATGGGAGAAAGGGCTGAAACAACTGTGGTGTGCCTCTCATCTACCGGTAATATGAGTTCTGCTTTAGGAGAGAGGCTTCACAGTTCCTTCAGCTTCCCTGGAGGAGGTTAGTCTGTGATTAACAACTGATTAATCTGTAAATGAGTTCCCTGCTATATTTGCCTCTCACACTTTTCACAGTGAATTGCATATTGAAATACATCATGAAGGCATAATAGTGCAGCTAAGGAAGATCAGAGAAGAAAGTGCAAAGGCAGGCTTACTGTTGAACATAAAAGAAAACAAAAATAATGACCACAGAGAACTTACACACACATTCAAACTAGACAAATGAGGAAACAAATTGTAAAAGAGTTCTCATATCTGGAATCAAACATTGATCAGAATGGGGACTGCAGCCAGGAAATCAAAAGAAGATTAAGAATAGAGAGGGTAGCTATGAAAGAACTAGGAAAGATCCTAAAATGCAGAAACATACAACTCAGCACAAAAGTCAGAATCATACAAGCCATTGTATTCCCTGTTGCCATATATGGATGTGAGAGCTGGACAGTCAAGAAAGAAGATAGGAGGAAAACCAACACATTTACGATGTGGTGCTGAGGACTCCATGGACAGCCGAAAGGACAAACAAATGGTTTTTAGAGCAGATCAAGCCAGAAATATCCTTAGAAGCCAAGATGACAAGACTTAGACTGTTATACATCATGAGATGGCATGAATCATTGGAAAAGACAATAATGTTAGGAAAGGTGGAGGGAAGTAGAAAGAGAGGAAGGCCTCATGCTAGATGGATGGACTTTATTAAAGAGACCATGAATATGAGTTTGCAGGAGCTGGGCAGAGCAGTAGAGGAAGGAGGACCTGGAGATGTCTCATCCATAGGGTCACCATGGGTTGAGATCGACACGA